CTTATCTTCAAACTCTGGCTTTTTTTTTTTTTAAAGTAGGATGGTCAGTTCATAGGAGCTATAATCATCGTATTTCATGCCTCAAACTGCAGAATGACTCTCCTATCCTTTCCTTTTGTCTCCTTTTACATTCATGTCCAAAGCTGTCATGTCCACTACTGCTCCTAATGGATGGTTTTTATGTGCATATATCTGAAACTCATAATGTGAACCATGCTGCTGAACACGTTGTGAATATACTGCTCTTCTTTAAAAAGGTGGTTGTTGTTGTTTTTTCCCATCTACAGTATTGACTAACTGTCGGTGTTTGATGTATGGGTTACCAGGCTGATGTAGACTTATGGTTAGAGTTTAAGTTGTTAGTTCTGCTTTTGCAGCCAATTCAGAATAACTACAGATGCCTCAAGATATTAAAATTGACTGCTCAAATGGACTCAGTGTGGGAGTTTCATTGGTTTTAAATTGATAACAGCTGAAAGGGAATGATTAAAGCTGTATAAGGGCATAGAATGCCGCTCAGTTTTTCCCTTCTCCCTTTTCACAACTTCTCGCAAACAACTCTTTCTATGGGAATTTTCTTCCCAATGGTAATAATAAAAGTATTTCATTCCTTTAAATTTCCAAATGATAAATAAGGCCATTTCTAAAGGAGCAATTCCTGAGAACCTAGGAAAAAACTAGGGGAGGACAAAAGAATTTTCTATTCTAAAGGGAACATTTTAAGTTAAATAGCATTCCATAAGGTGGACATTGTGTCTATTTCCCAGACATTGGAGCTAAATAAGTTGGATGGGAGACATAAACTGTCATAACAGGAGATTAGGAGTGTTATGTACATCTTTGCTTATCTTCACTACTCCCTACCCCATTATTAAAAAAAAAAGGGGGGGGGGAGGAAGAAAGCATAAGTTTTAAAGAACATTTTCAGAAACAAATCGCACAAAGACCTTTTGCTTTCTTTATTCCCTTGAGAGCAATTATTGTTTTATTGGAAAAAATATTCTGTATGTTTTTTTATCCCAACAAGTCTTAAACTGCTTAGATATGGCAAAGGAGAATTTTTTTAAAAAACAACAACAGAGATACTTCCAGTACATACATCCAGACATGCATAATATACATTATTTTAATCAAGATTTCAAGAGTCTTTAATATGCTGGATTCTGGAAGCTGGATCCAGTCCCAAAGGTAAAACTGTTGCTTCACACAGATTAAGTAATTATTACTCAGCTAACTCAATTTTGGCTTTGTCTAAGCCAAAATTGTATTTTGTGTTCCTCAAAGTTGCCACAGAAAAACCAATGAATGCACACATTTGGATTGCCACTGAACAATGACACCATAATGGCAAAGGATTCAATCCATGAGTGTAGACTGAGAGTGAAATATGTATTACTCCAAGTCTGAGGAAATTATAATTATAATTCTGTTTTAGATATTGCAATTAGTATTGGACTGAATTATCAGCCCTCTCTTTTGTGGAAAGGAGAAACCAAGTGAAAATCCATTACCATTAAACTAATCAGGGAGATTTCTCTGCTACTGGAAACATCTGAGGGGGAAAAAACTGGAAAAAGAAAACGTGAAGCCCTGCAGCTCCCATTTTGTAAATCAATCTCTGCACACCCAATAAAAATTAGTAAAAATTGTAAGTCTCTGAAAATGGTTCCTCTTTTAAGGCTGGCCCAGCCAACATAGGGTGAACATTTCCAGCTCAGCTCAATTATATTTTCTGAGAATCTGTTCTTTATATAGACATGGCTGACCCACAGAATGGAAAATTTTCACCAAAATGCTATGTTCATCAAGGATGGTATCACAAGTACTTGATGGCAAGTGTGCGTGATGAAAAAGTTGTTCAAACAAACAATGACTTCCAGTGACTTTTGAGCATCTGGGGCCTGAAAAAAAATGTTTTCTGTGTTTAGTAGAAATATCTGAACAAAAACTGGTGGGATCTTCAGACAAATTTTTCAACTTTAACCACAGCTGGAAGCACCAATAAATTTTGTGATCATTTTTCAGTTCTTTGTTCAAAACTTTTAAATAGTTTTTTTCCAGCAACCAGGTACTTAAACAATGTATGTCTATGTGTGCACAGCTAAATAACTGCATCGGGCTGTTCTCTTTGTGTTATCATGTAAGAAAACTAAAAATAATATGTTGGTTTATTCAGGAAAATTTCTGTTTTCGGGCAGTAAAGATAATTGATCTCAAAAGATGTCATAATGGGATTGAATCTTAAGATGATTGCTCTGTATTCTTTGAACTAATCTATACAATTTCTTTACAAATAATATTGGCAAAATTTCACAAAATACAAAATATGCAAAAGAATGAAATGTGGGCTCTTTGAAACAAAAAAAAATGAGGTTTTTCCTTGAACACCCTAGGAGAGGCAGAAATCTAAAGATATCATAGTCTTTAATATTGTGCAGGTTACTATTTATGCATGCTCTCCTAGGATTATTTTAGGCTTTGCTAAGAAACATTGATTATAGAGTGCTGTCAAAGGCCTCTACACTAATTTTCCAAGTGTCATGCTCTGCTGGAAAGGTATGCAGAGACTATCTCTAGGCTTAAATGATGATCTTATAGCCACATTGTTTAAACATTTTAAACCGCTTCTATTGAATGGTTTTTCTCATAGGTTTGATTCATTTTGATTCTGCTGACAAAGTTCCCATTAAGGAGCACTCTCTTCATAATTTGTCAAAAATATATATAGCAGAGATGAAGGAGGATGAAGCTAATTTGTAATCTCAGAGCACTAACCTAGTTATCCTGACATACTTCATGATGTACACCCTCAGCCAGCCAGAGGATTAAAGTTACGAAGCACACACACACACACACACACACACACACACACACACACACACACACACACAAACATTTTGTAAGCTGCACAATTTACAAGCATTGTCAAGGGTCAGGGCGACTTATTCTTAGTAAAATAATAATTAATCATTTGCCAAGGGAAAAATGTCAACTTTGTACAAAAGGTTGGAGGAAATGCTGTAATGAAACTTACCTCTTTGTTACTGGCTGTCTGTAAATGATGTAATAGAGAGGCATAACGTAATATAGTACTGTTATTCAATTATTTACCTGAAAGGACTTTGGTACCATTACAATTACTGTATAATAACAATACTACCTTATGTCTTAAAATTTTCTGGATCTTTTCTTTCTGTCCATGGTTTATAATCCAGCCAGTTCTCTACTGCTGCTGTGTAGAGTATATGTACACAGTATGTCTTGATATGATAAATAATGCAATACAAAGTGTAATTTTTAAAAAAAAACACCAGTGGATCATTTTATTTATTTATATCCTATCTTTATTATTTTTATAAATATCTCAAGCATACCTACCAGTAATATTCCTTCTCCTATTTTCCCCGCAACAACTCTGTGAGGTGGGTTGGGCTGAGAGAAAGAGTGACTGGCCCAACGTCACCCACTTGGCTTTCATGCCTCAGGTGGGACTAGAACTCACTGTCTCCTGGTTTATAGCCTGGGGTCTAAGCCACTAGGCCAAACTGGCTTGTCCTGTCAGAGGAGTAGATATTGGCATGCTTTCCACTCTACCTTCATACAGTAGATTATATTATTTAATGTCACTGTGCGCTCTGTGAAAAAGATTCAGAAGAACAGTTTCAGACCTCCAGCAAACTTCTCTGTTGTTAATTAAACAAGCCTGCTATTTTTCAGGCTTCTGAACAAGCTAGAAAAAGGATGTTATTCTTTTAAGCAATCAAATTATTGAAACTTTTGAAACAATCACATCTTGTTATCAGCCTTGTGTTAAAATCTAAAAAAGACAGGTTGCTGTAATGAATATATGAAGCTGTTTGTGCTTATTCTTCAAGTTTATTCTTGTGTGAAGTCCAAACCCTATCCTATTAAATATTTTAAGTGTACATCGGCCAGTTGGTTTTATTTTAAAATACAAGCAGTGTCCTTCAAAACTTAGTTTTCAAGCACAATTTACAAGCATTTAAAAACACAATTTGAATTTGAAATGCAGCTGCAAATACAAGTATAAACAATCTATTAGACTGATGATAGAACCAAATAGGGTTTTTCACTTAAGATAAGATAAGATAACCTTTATTGTCATTTTTATACTGTGGGCACAATGGCACACATCAAAAATGAAATTTAGTTGCCCGCTCTCAAAGTGAAACACATACATGACACACACCTAAACATACTATGAACAACATATGTATAGCCCCACATCCCTACATATACATAGCAATAAATATTAAACATTGTCCATCTTGAATATATAATGGAACGAGGAAGCTTGAGAGTTCGCAAGGTTAATGCTGTATGGAATTATGGGACAGTTAACATTTTCTAAACTCAGATTCCCCATCAAACAGCTGTTTTCACCCAAGGCTGATATTCTCTGGATTATATTACAATGCTCTATACATTTAGTTATTGTGATGTCAGTGCAACCTTCCAGGTTGGCTTTTCTAAACAAACCATTGGCTACCTAAGATCACAAGAGAACAGCAGCTTTAGGCAGCAAGTTATGATCTCTGGACATGCAACTGTGACCCTCAGCTATTCTTAAAATATTTTCTGGAAAACAGATCTGGGCTATGGCTTACCTATTGACATTCAATAGGAATAGCATTCAATTACCCAACCTATTTTACTTCTGCATGTTGAAGGAGAGTGGAGGACATTGCATTTTCACCTTACATAACAACCTGACATGCAGATGATTATAGATGGGGCTTGCTTGCACAGAAAAGGATATCTCTGCTTATGTGTTCTGTAATGCAGCTGACAGTTTCTAATATCCACACCACTCAGAACTAGCTGTGGATATCCTTAACTCAGTGTGCCAAATAAAATAAATCAGAAGTCATAACTCATGGCCTCAGTCCCAAGGAAAGAAATGGGTTGCAAATTGGTCATACATCAAATTTATCTCATTGTTTTTCAGTGATACAGTCACACAATTTCAGTAGGGATCATTGTTATGTATGCCGTATATCTAGTAAAAACTAAACACACATAATGTTCACAAACATAAGGCAAAACCTGGAGTGGAATTCTCTAAGTTTCTTTGATATTATGTTTGACAAGCAAAGTTTGCTTGCAAAAGTAGGTAAGTGAACAACAAAACCTTTATAATTTACTATTCACTTTGTTTCACATTTCAGGGGGCTTATTTAAAGTGTGATTTCTGTTTAATTAACCATTCTCTGTTTTGTGTTTTCTAGATCAGATTTTTGGTGCTTACCTACACAATGTGTGTGAACATGATGGCTCTACTGTCCCTTACTTCGTTAAAATGTGTATAAAAGCTGTTGAGGAACGAGGTACATATTTTATGATCTATATACATTCTTAAATGTGGCTGTATATTTATAAGTGAGATTTTAAATTTCATTTACCTACTGATGGATAGCTGGGTGTTAAAATACAATGGTATCAACCCTCCCCACTTTTCTTAAGCTTCCTAATATTCTTTGAAATAAGTATGTGCCATCCCCTCCTTTTTTTTCTGGAGAGTCACTGATATTATTCAAAATAAATTGCAGCAGTGGGTCTCTTGCCCTTACAATTATTTGTTGAAATTTTGTACTTGATTACTGTCACTGTTTAAAATCTATAATGTTTACCGTCTTTAAAAAATATGTCCTTGTAATGTATACATTCAATTTTCTGCTTCCAAGTAATTTTCAACTAACATGAAGTTAGCAATCAAGTAAAAGATATTTCTAATACCCAAAACCAACTTTCCTGAAGTTCATGACAAAAGAGATCTACTTTTATACAGCAGTTGTGTTGTATTGCATTGTGCCAAAAAGGTATCCATCAACACCCTTCCTTCTAAGCTTCCAATACCCCTTTGCAATCTATTCTGGAGGGATCGTAAATCCTTCAAAGCAGCAAAGAGGAGTAAAAGGGAAGTGCTAGCATAAGAGGACAGAGGATAAGGGGAAAGCGTAATACATCCATTGAAATATGCTCATGTAATATTATATGTATGCAGGGTTAATGGTGTATAATTCTTGGAAATTCCATTTTACTCATATAAGTGAATTAGGAAAATTATATTCCCAGGATATCAAATAGCTATGAAATATGGAAATATTAGCGCCAGAAATATGCAGTGGAGATTTTGGAATGTGGGAGTTTCTTTTAGGATTGCTAGCTTTTGAACTGACCACTGCAGCTGTCTCTTTATAAGCTTTTTGATCTACACCAATTAGTGATAACATTTAGCAACATTTCATTAGCAACTTCACCTACTGATTCTACAGGTCAACCCCCTGGAAAAGAAACAAGACCCCAGTTTGGTTTACTTTACAGTTTTGTGGTTAGTTAACCAACCAAGCCTGTAAAAAAAGAAAAAGAAAATATAAATATAAATGATCTAAAATGTAGATGAATATTCTGGATAATAAAGATATTACAAGTTTGATCGCTTGTGTTGATACAATTTTAAGAAAGCCACTCCTGCTGAAATTGGAGCTTTTACCGTTCTAATGTTAAATTTCCACTGGCTATTCGTGCTCATTGCAAGAGAATTAAACAAGCTTTAGTGAAAGAACACAGTGATGCACTGCTTATATTCATAAAGTGGTCACTGGCTGCTGGAATAGTTCCTCAGTCCTAAGTACCTCCTATAAGGTAGCATTAAACAACTCAGATCCCAAGTACTATAAAATAACTGGTTTGTGGATCAAATTAATTCATTGAAAAATGCAAGCCCGTTTGAAAAAATGTTCAATAGTAAATGCCTTTGCTAATACAATGTTCTTATTTATTTTATTGATGGATTGACAATAGAGATGTTAAAGAGAATAAATAGATATTTTAAGATAATAAAGATATTATCTTTATCTATTAATATTACAATATGTTTTTTTGCAAATATCAGGAAAGGGTTTTTTTTCTATTCCTGAAAGATTCATCTGGCATTTTACCTTGGCTTTTTCAATGCTATTGGAAACTTTAATTTTAAAATGTTCTCTAACTCTGCTGTTTTGAAACTTTTAAGGCATTAAGAAATATAGTGCAGTTTTAATATTGTTGTTTTTTTGCTGATATTTACAGTAGACAGAAACTTTATTTCGGTCATTTACCAATAAAAGCACAATCAATAAAATGTACCACACAAAACTATTCCTTAACAGCAAGAACTGTTACCAACCATTTATGGGTGACGTTTACACATAATTTAGCAAAATGTTGATACTTTTAGAGAAATACATTTATCTTTTGTTATTCATAGATACTGCAAATAAACATCAGAGTGCCTCAAAATTACTCTGTATACCTTGTGACAGGCTACAGACATCTAATGCTTCCTTGAAAAATACATATATACATACAGTATATACCAATGATGGCGAACCTTTTAGAGACCGAGTGCCCAAACTGCAACCCAAAGCCCACTTATGCATCGTCGGGTGCCGGGTGGGTGTGGCCCATTGGGTGGGTGTGGCCCATTAGGTGGGCATGGCTGCGGTGGTAACAGCAGACTGGGTGGGACTAAAAAGTTCAATCAATCAATTCCAACTTTGCAAGATCTTTTTTTTCTCACGAGAAGTTGAAATTGACTGATTGATTGAACCTTTTTTTTTTTTGTACACGGCGGCGGAGGCCTAAAGCGAAAAGGTTTTATAAAACCCAGCTGAAGGCCTAGGACTGGGGCGACAGCACACGTGTCCACAGAGAGGGCTCTGAGTGCCGCCTCTGGCACCCATGCCATAGGTTTGCCACCACTGGTATATACATATACTTATATATTTTCAAGGATGCATTTTAGATGTTTGTAGTCTGTGAGAAGGCATGCAGAATAATTTTAATTCTGTAGAATAATTTCTATAAGTATTGCATGATTACGCTTTGATTTGTAGGCTTCCTTCCCTGTACTTACTATAACTTTAAGCTAGCATATGGCATTAGCTAGTAGAGATATAAATAATAACTAATCTCAGTGGCACGTGATAAAATTTGCATTTTATCACTATTTATGACTTTGTCCTTGGTATACAATTTTTCTTTTCTTTTCCTGGACTAGGATTATAATTCCTGTGCCTTTACTTCTGTTTACTCAGTGTGTTGTTTTCACTAAATTCTGGCACAAACTATTGCAGGACAGCAGTAATTTATGTGAAGCTAAATCCAATGTTTATGAAAGCTTCTGATGACATTTTAGACAGGGATTGGTATTAGGAAGCCATATGTGGAGGTGCCAAGTCTCCCAGCATGGCTGGGACTCAACAGATTTAAAGCCCTCCTCCTAATGGGCAGATATGCCTCCAGCCAAGTTATTCAACTACAGAGTCATGGGAAATACTTACGTACCAATTATGGGAAAGGCATAGTTAATGAAAACTGTATGTTTACTTACATAGTCTTAGTAAGATGGCCTAAACATTCATTGCAGCTGGCATCTTGGCTGAAACAGAGAGCTGTGTCTCTCTGTCCCATCTTCATACAGTAACCATATAGTTTGTTTCCCTGAAGTTGAAAGTTTCTTTTCTCTCTCTGAAGAATCTCCATTGCAGAACTAGATTGTACTACTCTGAAGTGTTGCTCACTGTGAAAATAAGCACTGGCAGCGGAAAAGCCTCAGGTATAACATTCCATATCTTAAAATCAGTTTAAATTCACCTGAACTCATTTGTGAGTTTCACATTGCACATTTACTGGCAATTTGCAAAAATCTTGTCTCACTTGATTAACATTGCCTGCTAGATGTGGCTATAAGCTACACAAAATCATTTTAAATTAAAAAAAAACTAACAATAATATGTTATTTTCATGTGTCATACAGGAGAAGATATACTTTAAAGTAAATGGGATATAGAAAATAATAATATTGAATAAAGAAAAGGACCATCAGAATGTATCAGCTAGTAATTTCCAACTAAACTGGTCAAAAACAATTTCTTGATGCTAAAGGTTTCATTGAAAATGTTACCTATCCACTATCATTGCATTGCATTATTATTTAATAATTTGCCCTACTAGTATTTTTAGCTTGTTGCCAGTCCCATGACTTACATCCTTATTCTTTTGATTATGAATAGTGAAGGAAATTATTTTAATCTAAATGAATACTCTCCTGTAATTTTTTTTTAGAACTTAATGTTCTGCTTTTTTCTTTGTTAGCTGTCGGTTTAACATTAATATGTTAATGTTAACATATTAAGAGCTGTGGTGGCATAGTGGTTAGAATGCAGTATTGCAGTCTAATTCTGCTGATTGCCAGCTGTTTGATCTTGACTGGCTCAAGGTCGACTCAGCCTTCCATTTTTCTGAGGTCACTAAAATGAGGACCCAGATTGTTGGGGGCAATATGCTGACTCTACAAACCTCTTAGAGAGGGCTTTATATAAATCTAAGGGCTATTGCTATAATACGTCATTATTAAAGCCCACCTTTATTATTGGTTAGACTATAAATCCTGTGCAAGGAAAAGAGTAATTGTTTTGTGAAACATTTCTGTTCTTGGATTATTTCCACATCTATTTTCTAGCTAATTATCCAAGACTATCGAATTTTGCTTTGTGCCTCACCAACAATTAAAATAATGCATTTTTTAAAAAAATCTATATAAAATGCGTTTGTAAAAAGGACAGACAAAGATATTAGAGAAACTGGAAATACATATCTGACATGGCAGACTCAGCCATAAGCCATGTTCTCAGCTTCACCCTACCATCCCTCCTCATTACGCGCACTGAAATAATATGATTCCTCAGAGAGAAGTTTTCTGAATGAGAGAGAACACTATCAAAAGCTGTTGGAGGATACATGTTTGCCATTATTATTTAAAATGAACCTAAGAACAATTTGGTTCATCCTTCAGATCTGTTTTGATTGTTAATTAAGTTGTGACTGTGATCCATACAAAGGCAATAAGAAATGCACTAAAGTTAGTGAGCAAGAGGGCGGAGTCGGTGCATTAATGTGAATGCTGAGCCTAGAAGCCACCATTGGAGACAGCAATGCTAACATCTAATTCTCTCCTCTTTCTCTTTCTTCTGTGGAATAATGGAAATAATTCAGTGTCATCCTGCTTTTGAGATGAAAAAGAGGCCAAGGATGCCATATGGTACCCTTTAAACTTAATGAGAAAAGACATGTGTCCATATGGAGAACAAAGGGACAAGTGACAAAATGCATGCCATGACATCACAACACAAATGCTGTTATTTACATACTCGTGTCCAAAGTTGGGATTATACGAGGGCAATTCAGAAATAAACCTCCGTTATCAATGACAGACACTCGAAGGTACAGAACTTTTATTATACACATTAGAAAACTACAACATTACATTACTTTTCTCCATAAC